ACAACCAGCTACTGCTCAGCACCATCACAGGGATACGAGACTTAGGCCATGACCAAATCACCATAGCTGGAAATTTCAGTGTCTCGTCACTGAACCTTGGCTCTGGATATGCTCAGGGAAGACTCGGTCGAAATATACTGCAAACCATTAGAAATACAGGACTGACTGGGAATGTTGGTGACGACCGTGGGTGGGGCCCTGGTAGAAAGTCATCGAAACTAGATTACATTCTAACTAGTGACCAACTACTCGTTGAAAAGGTCCAGATCATGACTCCACTATGATGTAGTGACTGTGCAGTCATGGGATTCGATCTTGTTCTCCGTGACCACTTGCAGTGGGACGTTACGCGAACATGTCTGTGTTATAGCAAGACAGACACTGCTGAAACGACGAGGCTTTTGCCTGAAGCAGAATCGTCCTTAGCATGGGATGAGTTATCTGTGGATGAGCACTGGGAGGTGGTAAAGAGATTATTAATACAGCAACCTCGGATTCCGCCCCTTTAGTCACATGGTTGAAGAGAGGTACGCAACGTATTCTGCAAGCAAGGAGGAAGGCTTGTTTTACGTGGAGAGTATCTAAGAGTCAGATCGACCACGATGCATAACTGGAACTTAGGAACCGGTGCAAAGTGAAAGTCAGGAGTGACAGGAGGTCATTCCAGGCTAACCCTTTTTAATAATAATAATTTGCTTTGTTCAAAAACAGTACTTGAGATACAGAATGGAATTCTCAGCATTTTTACAACAGTATTGCATCCAGTTAGTACATTGTCAATAACCCTGCCAAAAACTGTTAGTAAACCTCAGAATCTTGTATCGATTCATGCTGGAAAGAAAACCAAGCAACCAGGGGCATGAGCCTTAGTAGGTCCAAACAGTCAATACCTCACTTTTCTGGGGATGCCTGAAACATTCAATTTAGCCCACACCAAACATATAACATCAGTGTGGGTATTACTGTCATGGACTAAAATGACATCACTACTATTTCACCGGAGGGAAACCCAGTACTAAGAAAGCTACAGAGGCTTACATCTGGAAAGTCCCCAGGTTGTGACGACATCGAGCCATCCGTTCTGAAACAGTACTCCAAAGCTCTCTGTAGGCCCTTATGCAACTTATTCCAACAGCCGATGGATTCGGGGAAACTGCCAAAGGAGTGGAGAAGAGCCACTCTTTCCTCTATTTTCAAGACTGAGGATAGGCAAAATTCATCAAGTTATAGGCTAGTAGCGCTACCCTCAGTGGCACCAAAAGTACTGAAAGGTTAATTGATGATCACACCAGGGAGCACTTCAGTAGGAATAATAGGCCCAATGATGCACAACATGGTTTCAGGAAAGGCAAATCCTGTGCAACAAACCTACTATCAGCTTGGGACGATTAGACATCATGCTGGGATATGAATGTTCCAGTCCATGTGGTCTTCCTAGACTTTGAGAAGGCATTTAACACAGTTCACCACTACCTTCTCCTACACAAAATAAGCCAGGCAGGTATAGGTAAGCCGTCTCTGTCATGATTGAAGGACCACCTAGCTGAAACGGAATTTTGCGCTGAGGTCAGTCGAGTCCGATTATCTTGGCACAGCTCGTCATCAGGAGTGTCGCTGGGTTCTGTCCTAGGACCACTGGTGTTTTTCATTCCTATCAAAGACCTACGATACCGTTTAAGCTGCCAGACTCTTTTATACGCTGACGACTTAAAGGTGTGTAAGGGAATGGAGTGTTTGTAAGACTCAGATAGGCTGCAAGCAGATCTAAAGCTTCTAGGAGACTGTGCGATGGCCAGTGGCATTACTTTCAACCTGAAAAAGTGCAAAGTTGTGAAACAACGCACCTGTAGACTGCAGAATTCAAGTTACACCCTGTGAAACGAAAGCTTATCCTGCACAACTTCAGAGCGTGACTTAGGTTTAGTTCTAACGGAAAAAATGGACACAAGCGTAAATTACATTGAGGACGTGGTGAAGGCATATGTGGTTATATACTTTGCACACCAAAAGTTAAGTGCACTCGCTTCCGAGCTCTTTCTGAGGCTGTACAAAAAATGAGTCAGACCACATCTTGAAGTGTATAATATTATTGCACCACCACTGCTTAGAAGAGACGCCAACCTCTTGGAAAGAGTCGAAGACAGGCGACAAAAGGAGTAGTGGGTCTCTGAAATAAACCGTATGATGAAAGGGTAAAGAAACTAGACTTATTCACACTTAGCTACTGTCGACTGAGGGAGGATTTGAATACTGCCTACAAGATAACGAATGACCAGAATAACCCAAACAAAGGTGTTATGCCATTGAGTAAGTACAGGCTTCCTCGTGGAAATCCCAGAAGGATAGCTAACCAGAGGGCAAGGACTAGGGTGCGCTCCCACTTATTTTTACTGCCGGTTTGCCGTCCTTGGAACTCCTTACCGACAGATGTAGCTGTGGCATCGTCTGTGGACATTTTTGAGCGAAGGCTGAACAATCATGCAGCAACACAAGGACTGCGTACAAATGGCCTGTCTCCTTAAAATCCCATTCACCATTCAGGGGTAGACAAATAAATTCATCGTTTTACCTGTTTACATTCTCTTCCGTCTTACTCTCCTGTCTACTCCAACTGCTACACTTATAGCTATTATTATTACTATTGATATCATAAACATGTATATATTTTTATTAATAATAATTTGCTTTATTCCAGAACGGTACTAGTGGTACAGTGTGGAATTTTCAGCACATATCTACAACATTTGGATCTAATTTTACCAGACATTTAAAAGGAGTATTTCAAAAAAATAAATATAAAGACACCAACAGCAAAAGAAGAAAACGGGAAAAACACACAGTAATTATAAAAAATGCGAAAAAATACCAAGAAGTAGAAAGGAAAAATAAACAGCATGTAATAATAACTCAGTATTGGGTAGTGGAAGCTATGATGTGATTATGCATGGTGACAGTAAAGCTTTTGTCATACAAGAAGTTATGAAATGATATTTAAGAATGTTTATCGCCAAGATGATCAGTTAATTTGGTTGAAACAACTCTAAACAATCATAAAATAACATTTCAGGGATGTTGTTTTGTTTTTTGTCAGGTCAAATGCAGAGTTTGTAGTGGTAGTGTGAGTAATCCTGCATAATGCATAATTTTAAGGTGGTGACAATGGCCTTCACAACCAATGATTGTCAGTTGATATTGCCGAAAAAAACAAAAAATAAGAAAAATCAACCACAAAACTATTAACTACATGATGGTTAATGACAGGAAAATTGTGTACTGCTCATAACGCTAATATAGTCGTAACCAGTAGATACACAAAAGAAGGAATACAGTTAAGTACAAAAAGTAAGCCAATGTTAATAATTTAGGTAGCTAAGTATGTTTGAGAAGGAGTTCACCATAGATTACAAAATAAGAGAGAAATAAAAGAGCCTAAAATTATGATTATTAAAAACAAAGCAAGTCATAGGTTTCGCGCCTAACATTGTCTCTGACGCTTAGAACACGGGCCAAGTATGGTATCGTTGAGTTCCTGTACTTGGTCGTACGAGCATAGATTATTTTATACTGATTTCTGGTTTTACTTGATGAGATACAAGGCGAGAGTTGGGAATAGATGGGGTGTTGGGGGTCGGAGAGTATGGTTTTAGACCATTTTTCGCATGTATTCAGATGCCTATCAACTAATGTAGTGACGAGCTGACTGAGTTCTACACCACTAGTCCTACTGACTACCTTCAACATCCTTCTCAGGATGGTATAGTCCTTTTTCAATAGACCAGGAAAGACTAACGGGGAGCAGCAAAGTAGTATAGGTAAGATACAAGAGTTGACAAATTGTGAAAGTAGAGGTTGGGTGATTCCAGATTGTCTAAGTTTCTTAATGTAGTAGGTTAGACAGAACACTTTCTTGAAAATCGTTAGGATATGAGATGTCCAAGTAAGGTCGGAAGATAGAACTAGACCGAGGTATTTTTCATTAGACTTAGTTTCAATTTTAGTCCCCTCAATGCAACAGGCTTCATGAGTACTTACTAGTGTTTGTAGATCTCGTTTATGCCTAAGGGAGAAGTCAACAGTCTGGCATTTTGAGGGATTCAGCATGAGACCATTTAGTTTAGACCACTCACTTTTCATGTATATATGAACTTCAAATTTAGTTGGCTGTCTGTTTTTACGTTTTCTTTATTTCTATTTCCGTCTTTTAGTCTGAATAACCACTAATTATATCTGTTATTATCATTATCTCTACTCTTTTGACGATGATACCAGAGGAATAACTGGTGAAAGGATAAACTCATTCTCGGTAGTAACAGTCGTGACACGCCGTATACTACAAACAACATATAATTAATCCCAAGGTTACTCCTTTCAGAGTCAACCAAAGCTACGACAGTCGAGTGGCAAGACGAACATTGAAGAAGTTTACCGAAGATCAGAAACCTTTACCTCACAATTAAGAAACGAGCACAAAGAAATCAAGTTGGTTTATACTAGCTCGTAAAAACGATATTGGATATTGGGTAACCCGCTAAGAATAGCACACCAGAGACCAAAGACTCGAGTGCGTTCACATTTCATTTCGCTTCGAGTTTGCCGTCTCTGGAACACTTTACCGGCGGCCGTGACTACAGCGCCATCTGTGGAGACTTTTAAGCGGAAACTGGACAATCATGCAGAAATGCATGGTTTGTGTCTTAATGGTTTATCCTCTTAAAATTTGAAACCACACTGTCAATGGATAAGCATACAAGCTAAATCCCCACGAACCGTTCTGTCTTCTCTCACTGTACCGACTACTCTATCTTTGGTCACCTTTATTATTTCACTTATCTCAACCTATATTATCTACACTACAACCTATTATTATTATTACTATTCTGCTCTTATGACTACACCGAATGACCTACGGGAGTTAGGTCAAACTCCATTCACGGCAGCAACTGAGTCCTAACATACTGCACACTACAAACCACAATTTGACCAATCCCCGCACCATTCCTCTTGGAGTCTACCAGAGCTAAAGCAGTCGAGTGGTGGGACTTACTACGCATAAGTTCACCGAAGATCTGGAACCTCTACCTTACAATCAAGAAGCGAGCTCAAAGAAATCACTGCTTTATACTGGCTCGTAATCAGGATACAAGATATTGGATATTGAATACCCAGTTTCATTGTTTAAGCGTTTCGCAGGTGACTTTTATAAGGTTAATTTATGTACACATATTCAAGATCTTTTCAAATATCACTGATACCTTCAGTTCTCTTTGATTAGGAGGACGACTGATGAGGGTCAAATGTTAATTTTGACCTTAAGTCAATGCGAATAATCTTGTGAAATAGTAAGAATGAATTTTAATTTTTTCGAAACACAAATACGTTGTAATTGTCTTAAATCTCATGTCTTTAACTACTTATACTCTTGCTATCACATAAATCATTTATTGTCCTAATTTTTCTTTTTGAATGCTACCTTCTCTCGCAGATACTTCGGGAATTCTACTATTCCGTACAGTTAATGTTATACGTATAGTACTATTTGGAAGCACTTTTGGCACTGTAGAAAAACATTAAGTGTCAGTAAAAAAACACCCTAACAAAATGTCATTCCGGAGTTTAAAGAGGGTAATATATCTCACTTATAACCTGTTCTCCTGAATTTAAATTTCTTAAATATATCATCACTTACAAATATTCACAAATTTATTGAGGTATGTATTTCCATTCATATTGGTATCTTTCCTTTATTGAGTTTTTGAGCAGATTTATTTGCGATTTTCATTCGAATGGACATAAAAGTGACTATCATATGAGCTTGCAGCTATCATTTTCTTCGGTCTCACTGGAGAAATTTTGGGGCAAAATCTTCGGACACATTGCAGAAAGTGGGACAGTTATCTGTAGTCTTCGCCAAACTTTCTGCAGTGTTCTCGAAGTCATTTGGAACTGGGTAGTCAAATCGTGTTATATCAAATTGATAGATTTAACTACGTTGATATTCACACTGAATACAACTGTTCAGATATCACTAAAAAACATACTTGGAATGATCAGGTAAAGCATAACCTGAACATTTTCAGCTGGCTATTATAGTGACTACGGGTAAAACACTTTGTAAACCATTGTCTTAAAATAAAAAATACTCTAGGCTGACTCGTTTAAACATATTTCTGAATTAAAAATATAAAACCTAGAGGTTATAACAAGAAGCGAATTATTTAATTCGGAATTGCAGTGAAATGTTTCACAGTCTTTGTGAATTTGATATAAGGTATTGGGACGATCGCGTATATTTTATTATTGCATTCAAAATATGTGTGACAGCAAGTCATGATGAATGTCACCACTTTACTAAGAGACTTATGCCACCATTTACCATCAAAACGTTTCTTAAATATGACTTTAAAATACTTGTTGGAGATTTTTTAAATCAGTAACCTTTAAAGTGGTCGATGTAGTGTTATTTATACCGTCTGAGTCCTGCTCAGGGTACAGTTCAGTAAATTGGTTACCAGTATGTTAACAGCATGTGAATGTTTTTCGTAGATTTTTTGTTCATGAGTCAGTGGTATGAATTTAGATGGGTATGTTGCTGAGTTGAAATAGCAAAGTTCCAGCAGTTTACTCACGTGAATATAATTATTCTCTCTTACAAAGTGAACATGGCTGAAAGTGCGTTCACTTGGTTCAATACAATTATTTATTTAACTACTGTTACAGTAAAATACAAAGCTGTTAAACATTACTGCTACTACTACTACTACTACTGTGGTGGTGTGAAATAGACAGTGTGCTCCAACGGGATATTATTCTCACATATTCCAACAGTTCAGTACTGCATTAGCAGCATATGTATTTGAACATTCTATTTCATTTAGTTTGTTGTAAACCAAAATCACATGCTCAGTGGTTGGTCAAATAATATAAACCATATATATATAGATATATGTATATAGCGGTTTGATCAACTGAAAATATACCTTTGTTTCCATGTCTTGCCTTCTGCTGTTACACTACTACTACTACTACTACTACTACTTTATAGGAGCTTCAGCCCTATTGCTATATTTTTGATGAGCTTTCAGGTATGTAAAATCTAGCACATTACAATAAAAAGAAGTAAATTACACATGGATATTTATGGTACCTTAGTAAGATGTGAAAACGTTGGTAAGCAGTAAGGGTCAACTTAATAATATGAAGTTTAGTCTTTTTTTATACCTTCACATTCCCAGTGGAACATAGGGCTTCAAGCTAGAGCCAGCTTGAAGTTTCTGTAGTAGTGTTTATTTTTACAGGATGGGGTTGCTAGCCTCATGCCCAACCTTCCCTCTTTACCAGTCGTATTACTGGCTTAGCGAGGTGTCGGAGTGCGTCTGCCGGGGATCGATCCCCGGACCATGTGCATGGTCGGCGAGCATCCTAACCACTGTGCCACCGACGTAAAGTTTAGTCTACAGTGCAAAATAGATTATTCAAGGACAGGAGACTATATCTGCTGTCATTTTAAAGTCATTATTAAATTAGCCGATTATCCCTTTATTATTTATTAGTTTCGAGGGTAGTTTCGTGAATTTTCTTTTGTGAATAAGTTCTGTCAACAAAGGTATTAAGCTAAATGAACAAGTGGGATAACTTGGTATGTTTGATAGGTCTTATGGCTTTATGTAGGTAGTTACATTTTGAAAAATACTTGTATGAATAAGGCTACCTTTACGAGCTTCAGGTGACTATCAAGACCATTTTGATATTTCAGTTGTTCTCATGATAACTATGTTGAGGATTCTAACGGCAATTACTTGTAGAGTTGTCCTCCAGATTCTTCCACAGACTACATAGTCCCCTATCTAATGACTTTATTTTTCCAAACTATAGTTATTTGTTTAGACTGTTAGTACTTTTTTAATGGGGAGGTATTTTACCGAAGGTCTTTAGTCAGTTGACAGTGGGCAGTGTTATTTCCCTCACAATTGTTTTATCTATCCCAAACACTCACGTTTTTCACAGCAGAGAAATAAAAATTAAGACTAGACAGACGTCTTTGATTTGCTTGAGCCGGCATGTTCAAAAAGAAGCATCCGATCAAATAAAAGGTTAAGATGTCTTAAGTTTAATCACAATGTTCTCACAAAGAATTATTCCACTTGATATAAGTATCTGTGTAGATTTCATTGTATAAGGAATTTGGTCGGTTTCTTATCGTTCGGCACTGAGCAATTTGTCTTTAGGTATCTCTTATTCCAAATACAAGAAAACTGATTTTTTTTAACCCATAAAAAGTATTCTTTGTTATTATGAGTTAATCACGGATCGATATCAGTTAGGGAACCATTGAAAACCAGGGAGTACTGGACAGCTGTTTCATCCACTGGGGTTCCCAAACTAGGTTGAAACAGCTGTCCAGTACTCCCTAGTTTTCAATGCTTCCCAAACTGATATGAACCTATGATAAACTCGTAAAAACAAATCTAATCCTTACAAACCAACTATAGAAAATTCGTTGTTATAACAAACCATTTTGTCGAATGTGTGTGATGTTTTATATATGTATGTTTCTAATGTAGTTGTGTTCTCTGAGCTTCACACTTCAAAGTGAAGTATATGCTCAAGATGTTACCTAGTACCTCAATGAAAGCTTCTCAAGTTAACCATTCAGCTCAGAGAACACAACTACATCAAAATTATCTACCTTAGCTCCAAATTTTCTCCATTAAATTGATATATCTTTATATGTATATATGTTACAAAAATAGTAGTTGATGTTGACAAATTGTGTTTGAAAACTAGTCAAATTGAAATAAACAAAAGCATACAGCTAGACAAGTCAGCCACTAAATACCACACCCATCTAACAGGAAATTTATGGACTCAACTTGGGCGTATTACTGCTAAGAAAGAAAAATTGAGTTTAGCCCCTGTCTAGACAAGTCCAAAATTATGTTCAACATAGGATATTTGTTTTTATAAATTGATTACTTCTCAGTTTTCTATTTATAGTCTAAATATTAAGAGATTTAGGTGATACTTACTTATGGTCATTATAGATTTACCACGACCTGTGTGTTCTTAATTCACATCACATTGGAATTCTTTAAACCTTGAAGAAGTAAGTTTATCAAAAATATTGTAGAGAAACTCTGAAATTTCTGTTTGTAACAACATGACCTATGCACAGTTATTGAACTATTAATGAATTAAAACACCTAGAAATGGGTAAACATTAAAATGACAGTCTTTGTAATATCTCCTATGATCTAATGTGTACAATCGATGAAATAGGTAAACCTATGTGCCTTGCATAATTTTTGGTGGATTTACTATGAAAGTTGTCACATCTTGGTCTTCAATTAAATATTTTTTTTGTTTCCTTCCTTCACATGTATGAAGTAGCACAAAGTTAACTATATTTCGAAGAGATTTGGATAAGTTGATATCTCTCGTACTATTAGATTAACATAAACTTGGAAAAGCTGTTTACTTGGTTTGTTTGAGCACTAAGTTACCTATTATTTATACGGTATAGGAACTAGCAACGAGAATTCTCAGGTTACTTTATTCTGACTTTTTGGATTGGTCAACTAACTAATTCACAATATGTATTTCGATTTGAACTCTACATATCGGAGTTCGAAATTAATTTGACAACTATTGTGTTTATTATTTTACCGTATCTATTGAATAAGAATAAGCCAGAAATCAAACTGGTAAAGAGGGAAGGTTAGGCATGGGACTGGCTACTCCATCCCGTAAAAATAAACACCACTACTACCGAAACTTCTGGCCTCTAGCTTGAAGCCCTATGTTTTACTGGGAACGTAAAGGAATAAAATAGTAGAAATAATAATAATTGAATAAGAAAGATAAAAATTCCCTACAAAGTTAAGTACTTTATACAAAGTCAGCTAAGGTACATTTGCAGTCAACTGAGCGGTCTTTGAGTATGCAGACTAGAAACATCATAGGGAAGAAATGTGATGATAAGCCTATGTGATTTTTGAAGACTTATTTCAATGAATAAACTATTTTATTTGTTGTTATTGCTTGTTTCTTAACGATACTATCAGACAACCGATTTGGATACATAATCCACCCCTAAATCAGAGATCAGTCATAGTGGTAGTCACAGTCTAAACTTCATAGTGGTGGTAGGTGTCAATAGTACGGTTTTAGTTAATGGTAACAACATAAGTTGCCTGAAGGTGATATATATTGATAGGCAAAGAAATTAGTTCAAATTCTTACTATTCTTAAATATCGTATTTCAACTGCTAGAAACGTAGATAGGTTCATTTTCAAGTGCCATCGAAACTCATCGCGTGGAATCATCAAGATATGCCAGTTTGTTAACCAGTGCGACATGTAAACAACTGTATGGTCCATTGATCATATTGCAGATATCATATTAGTGAACAGTGTAGTTTACGCGACTGATATCAACAGCTCATAACCCGAGTTCAGTTATTTTTTGGTATTATTTAATTTTAAGTAGCCAAGAAAGAAGATTCACAGCTTCATTTAGGATTTTAAACTTTTATGCAGGAGTAAGAGGTATGATATAGCTAATGTGTAATACCTACAAATATTTATAAAAATAAAGTATTCATGGATATTAGTTTAATACGTCTTATTGGCTAGTAATCACTTATTAGAAATTTATGCAAAGTAGTTCAGCACTAATTTGCAAAGCCTACACTTATGAGTTCCTGAGGTATGAGGTCTTTGAACTGTTCATATCACCTTCATTCAAATAAATTATATTCTCATTTTCAATAGTTGGTTTGTAAGGGTTAGATTTGTTTTTGCGAGTTTATCACGGATTTATATCAGTTAGAGAGCCATTGAAAACCAGCAGGGAGTACTGGACAGCTGTTTCATCCTAGTTTAGGAATCACCGGCAGTACTCATCCTACAAACTAATTCTAGAATAAATGTTACCCGTTATGAAAGTTAATCTATAGTATTTTTATATTCAATCCTATTATAAATCATTGTATTTAAAATCATTTGAAATCAGATGCATGTTTTTGTTTCACAAGATAAAGACAAAAAATTATTAGGTGGTATTGATAAGCGGTAATCCGATGAACACAGTTGCATCACATAGCTGAGTCACATGAAAATCAGAAGTAACTGCTAAGGGCAATTAACTGACTCAGTTTTCATCTCTCAACAAGGTTCACTTCGTCAGCCTACTGTGGCTATTATCAGTTTTTGATTACAAACTATCAAAAATGCAAAGAGAAGAATTTGTTTAAATAAATTAAATTTATTAATTTGTTTATTAATAATCTGGTTTTGCATATCTTTCCATTATAGATGAAAATTCGAAGATCAGCACTCTTGTATATATTTACTGTACTATTTTTTATGATACTGTGCTACACCTTATTTACTGGAAAGCATTTAGAAACTGAATCAGAAGTTTATATTCCCTCAGATGGACCACAACCGATCATATTTATTGGAGGTTATCCTAGAAGCGGTGAGCTGTCATTTTGATTTTTGATTTTGATTATAGCTTGATTCCACACCGTATTTTTGGTACAAGTATGGAATTTTCAGCATGTGATATCGGTAGCCCGAATTTCGCAGGCCGACCATTGATATCGGGTGTGCGTCGGCAGGGAATCGAACCCCGGACCATGTGCATGGTCAGCGAGAGTCCTAACCGCTGTGCCACCGACGCACAGTTTCAGTATTTTCAGTAATAGTATGCATCATTTGAATGGGTATTTACAAGTAATCGTTACGCGACTAAATTCTGTGAAGGGTAGAAGCTGTTAAATTTACTAGTAGTTTTGTGTTTTCATCTTCTGTGAGCTGGATGTTTTAATTGATAACCTTTCATCGTACTTCTAGATAACATCTTCAGAGAGAACTTATTCGACACTGACATCACATTATATTCAAATCTGAAGATGTTGTCCATGAGGACAATGACAGCTTCACAGTTAGAACATACACCCTACACCAAAAACATCCTCCTGAGCCGTAAATCTTCACTATTTCAAATTTATTTTCAAGTGTTGGTTTGTAAAGATTTCATAGACTTCAATTTTAGTCACGATCTGACTGACATCACTTGGTTTGCTGGCAACCTGCTGGTCTTGGATTCGATCTGAAGAATCCTAAACTAGGAGGTAACAATTGTCCAGTACTCCTTAAAGCATAGCCTAGTTTACTAGGTGAAAAGGAGAGACTACCAACCCGATCCCCTGAAAAACAACTCCACCGCTACTGAAAAATTCAAAGTATAATACAGTTAAACATGATATAACAATTTAGATGTTTACATTTAGTTCAGTAACTGAATTTTTACTCTCTATTGTAGGCACAACACTCATGCGTGTTTTGCTTGATGTTCATCCAATGATTCGATGTGGTCCTGAAAGTAGAGTTATACCGAAAATACTTGGTGTGCGACACTTATGGAGCCAAGGAGTTGAAAATAGTCGACTTAAAGCGGCTGGATTATATCCTGAAGCAGTTGATTCTGCTGTTCGTTCATTCATATTGTCAATAATTAAACATGCCGGTGAAAATGCTTCCGTATTATGCAATAAAGATCCGTTATCTTTTACTCATCTTTCCTATTTGGCTCATTTGTTTCCCGAGGCGAAATTTGTTCACATGGTACGTGATGGACGGGCTGTTGTTAATTCTCTAGTAAAGTAAGATACATTGTTATCAATACAGTTTTTTTCATTGTAAATATGTTAGTCACTATATGTTGTTCATTGCGTTCCAAACGAAACACATGGCTTTCATGGCACATTTCCATTACATTCACTCCTCCACCATCACTTTCAGCTAGCTCTACAACTGCTCACAAGCTTTCATTTCCTCTTCGAATGATCTTTTCTATGTCAGCGGGAAACGAATAACTCGCTGCTTCCCATTCAGGTTCCAATTGAGCGCCTGGCGTGTAATGTAACTCGAATGTATCCTTATCGTATATCCATTCCATAGCTATTCCTTTCTGCATATCTGTTGAGTGGTAGGTTCTTGTCTGGCCCTCTACTACAGCATTTTGTTGCTTAAGTTAATGTATATAACTTTGTTTTATTCCATCCAAGATTCATTTGAATTTTTTCCAGTTATTCTCATAATACTTTTGTTTTTATTCAAAACACATAAGTTATATTCCTTATGAGAATTGTTTTCTAAGTAGTTCACTTGGGTGAAGAGCTCATATGCGTATGACTCCAAGTTCTACTCTTATTAATATATTTCACTATATACAATAAATGATTAATTTGTGAATAATGCATCTTAGGAGTATATTTCGTCGTCATCATAACGAATAACGATTAGGAGGTTAAATAGTCATCCTTTTTATCTGAATGATCAAATTTTAGGATAGGAAACATGTACTCATCTGTGTTAATGTGTATCATGTGTAGTGGCATAAGTAATCCATTTATATTACAGATGGATTATCAATATTTTTTATTCCTTTTTAAAACTGTGTCTAGAGAATCCAGGATACAATGTTTTAATGATAGGTTCACAAAGGGAATCCGCTTAACTTGGAAGAAAATAACGTCTTGTATATTTACCGTTTTTCCTTCACTTTACGTTATTTGGTTGATGATAGCTAGTGGTGGAAACCAAGACTCTTGTCTCATCTCATTTGGGACTGTTCTACTGAATGCTATTGCACCTCTGGTGAGTGATAATGTCTCTACCAAGACTGAGACCTAGAACCCATATTTTTGAACAACACTAGGTCACAAGAACCATTTGGCGTGCAATGGGTGTCAGCAGCCATTTGTTGAGAACACCAGCAATAACTGGGAATCCTGATATATTCAGATGAGACGTCCCAAACAAGACGAAGCGTGGATCCTTAATCTCACTGCTGGCTACCATCAACCAAATAATATTATGTTAACCTCTAGACAGCTATGAAGCATCGGTAATAGACGCTGATATTTCAAGGGAGACTGAGCATTTCGGTCTACCAGAAATCATTTATGAGGAAATAGGAAATAACTTAAACTAGTGAATACATCAGTAGTGAATATTAAGTAGTTTTAGTGATGTGAACTGAGAGTGAAGTTCATCATTTCAACAAATATGAAAATTACAAATATCGCTGATCAAGTTGAGCATTTACCTGATCCTTCAAATTTCTGTGTTTCATTTGATAAATGTGAGATATAGTTTTAAACAATGCAGTGATACTGGGCAGCTGTTACATCCTAGTTTGGTAGTGATCAGCCATACTCATTAATGTTCACACTGGGAATCTCACCTAAAGCTTTCAGACAATGAGTCCAACCTGTTGTTCATTCAGCCACTGGGACGGAATCCAGTAGCCTACGTATTCAAATTTCTACCGAGTTGTGATACATAGCTCAAGCGCCATCTAATGTCACTGTCGAGTATTCATCCTCACGCCAGAATTGGCGGACCCCACTGGTCATGACTTCTCACTAAAACTTCAATCAGTAACTAGTGAGCGCTAGATTAATTTTCAAGTTTTGGTTTGCAGGAATTTGAAGTCAGTTCACGATCAAACTTCAAATCAATAAAATCCCTGTAAATCAACCTATAGTGATAATCTTCTCAGACCGAGTGAACATCACTGTGTGGGAACATTTATATTATCTATAATAGAATGTAGTCCTTCGTAGCTTTATAGCTAAAGTGCTCAGTTATGCTTCTTAATCTTAAATCTAACAGTGAAATTAATGAAGTATAACTAGATTAGGGAGATGAAATATCACAGAGAGTCACTGTTAAACTGGCTATTTTCTTTCCTTAGGATGGGAATCAAACCCGGGCCACGTGCTTGATTGCTGACAGTTCTACCACTGAACCACCGACTGCTTGGATAAGCATACTGTTATCGATTTAACAGGCGATGATTAAAGGTGAAATGAAAATCTGAGTCACAATAGGATTTGAATTACTGGCCTCCGAATTACTAGTGAGTAGTCCTATCAGCTGAGCTATAAGACTCAGCTGCTCATTAGGTCATCGTTCAACTGCGATTACTACCACACTTACTGCTCAGCTATTATTTCAATGAATGATACGTTACTGTCCGTTTAACATCACACTATCTGCCCAGCTAGATCTTCTCGTGTCAGTCATGATCATACAGAACTAGACCATATGGATATTGGCTTAAGGAATGAAGCTGTAATACGATTTGGCCAACATTTTAATTGTTTTACAGAATAAGTAAAAATTAACTAGAACCTTTGTTAAAAGTGGTTGACTACTCAAAATCAAGGAATAACTAATCAAACTAATTAAAAGTTTGCTAGATGAAATTCATTCATATTTAGTTCAACTACCAGTTCCTGTAACTTAGAGGTAGATATGGTAAAGATTTTCTCAAATCTGTTAATTATTAATTGACTTCTGTATAGATATTTGTCAACCTGAAATGTTCTTTTTTAATGTAAAGTGAACTTCTTCTTCTTGACTTATTTTCGTTATTCTTTCAGTTAAATGTGTCAACTACAACACTTGTTTATGAACAGATTAATCCCTGGAAAAAAATCTCGGCGTTAATACCAAAGACATGATTAAGTTTCTGCACAAAAGATATTCGACAATCGGTTGAAGTGTTTAAGACATTAATTCTTCATAATGCAAAGTTTGTTGAAGTAAGGTTAATGTTAGGAAAAAGTTACAGGTCATCATACTGAAATATATATCTAGCCTATGAGGTTTATGTCGATCTGAGCAACCTATATTGGCAGAATTTCGTTTATCTGACTGTTTTCCTAAAAATGTTGGAAATCAGTATGTACAAGCTATGTGAGATGGCTCAAAATCACTCACAGTTACACTAAAGTATTCATTTTCTTGACTGTAAACGTGCTGATTGACTTTTACTAAGTTATGTTTCCGTGTCTCGCATATGTTTAATTAGAGCATTAAGGTTCGTAGCCTCTTTCTTCTTTTGTACGTGTGTGTGTGTGTGTGTTGTATCGCGAAGTGTGATTGTGCTAATCTTTGTATTGCTGTGCAAGGTTCCAAGTTAATCTATCACATTTGTCTAGTAAGATGTTGGTTGACAACATCTGTTAACTAATCAAACCAACTGCTTATTGATTTCCAGCATTCAGATGCGTTTTCTGTGTTATGAATAGAGACGAAAGTATTCCGTTTTTAAATGGTGATTTGCATCAGTGAGATTGATTCCAGGCTAGATTACAGTTTTATTTCACCTATGGAGTAACGAACAGCTATTTTATCCTAGTTTAGAAATTTTTAGCATTACACATGCATACTTCTACGAAGAACTGAATCCAAGAATTTCAGGTTTCGAGGCAAACTCGTTAATCATTCATCCACTGAGAAGGAATCCAATGACCTATGGGCTTTGACTCCTTCCTATTCTCTATGTTTAGAGCCACCACCAACCGATGTCATCGGTGAGCATATTTCCTCATACCCCACCGGTGATGACTGCCAACGAGTTTCAAATGAGGACGAAATAGCTATCTAGAAGTTATATCAATTCATTATCTATCTTACGATATCTTTTATGTTTTTCGGTCAAAAATGGATGAAACTGTTAAGAATATGACACCTAACCTAGGCAAATTTTTGGGAGTATAAGTGAAAACTCATATATCTACTATACTTCAAGAGCCTAAACACAATTCATAAATTCATTTTTTCAAGATTTGTACTACGAATTGATACAGAAACATAAAAAGGGGACGTAACCCTATGAGTAAACTTTGAGTCATTAAAACTGTAATGAGAGAGATAGAAATGAAGTTTTTGAAGGAAATGACTGTGGTAGCGAAATGCCATATACCTGGAGTAAAAATTAGACAGCCAGAAATAACTGTTTTACTTTCGGACAGGCTGAGTGTTACCGATTCCCCCAAAAAATGTTTTCTAAACACTCCACTCATTACAGTCAAGTCGTCACTTTATTTCATTAATATTATAGGGGAAACTCTAAGTTCCGCAGTGTAAGCAGCAGGGGAATCTACTTTTCAAGCTTGTCTATTTCATTTGTAATTACCCCTGAATAACAGTTTAGGTTCGATGTCCGACAGAATTTTATATCATTGAAATCAAAAATACTTGCATAATATACATAAAATTTAAATTAAAATCATGCTGTATCATAAAGGCGAGTGTTTACAATGTAGGAATTTCATAGTTCGTGTAAATAAAAAATACATTTGTCATCATATTGGTTCCCACTGTATCATTTAGAAATACATCTGTTATTATTGTTATTATTTAGACTTTACTACTTCACTGTATTTACGAGCTCATTATTTTAATCGGCACTTAATTACGTAATAAATTAGTCAACTGTTGCATTGATTTACAAGTGAATGAGCTAATTAGCATTCACGGTATGACTATTTTTTAGAATAGATATAAACTACTTAACTGTAAATAAATTTAAAAAGCCTGTGCGGAGTTCCTTGGAAGTATTATTACACATAAAACGACAGGATAAAACTAAAGTCAAAGCTGAATCTGACTATCTTCCTGGTAAATCTGAGCGTTGTTATAAAACCAAGTAGGGGAGAGTTTCATGATGGCATGTTAATTTATGGAAGAAACTAAAGTCTTATTAGAAAACTAAGATGAGATGAAATGTTTTCCACGTTAGAATGTAACAATTTATCATATGGCAGGTGGTGACCAACTGGGAAATCCAGGAGGCATGTCTCTT